CGCGAAAAGGCAACGTTGCTGAAAAATTCTTTTTTATTTATATATATATAAATATATATAAGATTTTTTTACTCATATATATATATATATATATATATATATATATATATATATATATATATAGAGGCGGCGGCGTCGAGGTAACGTTGCCCCGTTTTTCTACGACGTTGCCCCCTTGGGGAGAGGAGAGAGGCAACGTTGTTGAATCATATATATATATATATATATATAGAACGGTATACCGCTCGGTATACCGTATTGTACCATACCGAGCGAATATTGAAACTCCGGTACGGTACGATATTTCAATCCTTGGTTTAAATCAAACTGATATTTAGATGATTGAGAATAAGATAACATGATAAAATTAGATCCTTTTAAATCAAACTATAGTGATATTCATTTTCTATATGATAAATGATAAAATTAGATCCTTTTGATGCCTCACATACATTATCACATTAATTAGTGTTAACAATTTGATTTTTTTTCGACTACTTATAAGACACAATTGAACAAATTAAAATTTGAACAACCAGATTGGATATTATCATTCCAAGGTGTTCTCTTGTTTTTGTTACAGTCTGTTTTGTTGTGGATTTAATGATCCTAAGAGAACCAAGAACCAGGGTTGGATCGGTTCATTTAGAGCCTGGTGAATTTGTAAGATCCAAACGTGATTGGTTTTCAGCATAAACAAGGAAGAATTAAATACATTTGATAAACTAAAGAATGGAGGACTTTATGTGATATATGAATGTAAAAATGTCTTGTGGTAGGGTTGCGGTCTAATAATTTTTTCCTGTAGTATGATGGGGAAATGCTCATTATGTAACTATGTCTTTTAGGCTCTTAAAATTTTGGAGAAGCTTCCAGAAGAAACCCAAAAAAAGTTGGCTGGGAAGGGATACTTCCTTCAGAACGGGTTCATTATGGAACGGCTACCTGTTCCTCCGAATTGCTTGTGTGTGCCAGAAATTTCAGATGGGAAATGTGTCATGTCCTCCGTAAGTATTTTAATGATGAACACCTATTTATCTGACAATTGTACTCTGAATGAGTCTGCTTGTAGAACTGCTATTAATATTTCTTTTCCTTCTGATTTGTAGGATATTTCAAAGTCCCTTCTTAAGAAAATTCTTGGCAAGATTGAGCTGATCAAAAGGTCAAGGTCTGGTTCTCCAAGTTTTGAATCTTATGAAGTTGAGACAAATGATCTGCAATCATCAATTGCACTGTATATGAATCTCAGAGGTACCACAAAGGTACATTTACATAATAGAAGCAGGACAGCTTTGCTGTTCAAAGTTTGTATTGTGGTTTCGTCAGGCTATATTGAATTAATGAATTTTGTTTTGTTTTGATGTTTAATTCAAATCAATTTACTTCTTACCTAACAGGCACCTCGTGACATCACAAGAAGATTTGCATTTGGCAATGAGACTAATGAGTATTTGACAAAGCAGTGGCTTGATAAGATTAGAACTTTATTTATCAGAAAGGGTTCTGGGTTTTCCTCTCGTTCTGTTATTAGTGGAGACCCTTATATTGGAATTAATGTAGTGGGGTTACCATCAGAAATAGCAAAGAGAATTACATTTGAAGAACGTGTGACTGAGCATAATATAACTCGTTTGCAGAATGTAGTTGATAGCCGTTTGTGTATTACATACAAAGATGGTTCCTCCACTTATGCCATTTCTGTAGGGTCAAAGGGGCATACAAATCTTAAAATTGGCCAGGTTATAAATCGTCAAATTTTAGATGGGGATATAGTTTTTATTAACAGGCCCCCTAGTACTCATAAGCACTCATTACAAGCATTCTATGTTTATATTCATGATGATCATACTGTTAAGATCAATCCTCTTATATGTGCTCCACTTGGAGCAGATTTTGATGGTGACTGTGTTCATATTTTCTATCCACAATCCCTATCTGCGAAAGCTGAGGTTCTAGAATTATTTAGTGTGGAAAAACAGCTGCTTAGTTCCCATTCTGGGAGCTTGAACTTGCAGCTTGTTCAGGATGCTTCATTGGCCTTGAAGCTTATATTCAAATCTGGTTTCATAAAGAAGGAAGTAGCACAACAATTGGGGATGTATGTCTCATCAATGCTACCACCACCTGCAATAGTCAAGGCTACTAAATGTGGTCCTTGTTGGACAATTCTTCAAGTTCTCCAGAATGTGTTCCCTGCTTTTTTGGACTGTTCTGGCGAACGATATTTTATACGTGAGAGTGAAATTTTGGAGTTAGACACTGATCAAGATGTAGTGCAGTCTTTGCTGACAGATATCATGACTCATATTTACCACATGAAGGGCCCAATGGAGGTTCTTAATTTCTTCAACTATATACAGCCTTTACTAATGGAGATGTTGTTTATGGAAGGCTTTAGTATTTGTTTGAAAGATTTTATTTTATCAAAGGCTGTTGTTAGTGAAATTCAAGGAAGCATCCAGAAAAATTCATGCATACTCAATCAATTGAGATCAAGACGTGATGAACGTGCGGAATTGCAAGTTCAGAACCATCTTAGAAGCATGAAGGATCCAATAGTGAAATTTATCCTGAATTCTTCTGCACTGGGTAACTTAATCGACTCAAAAAGTGATTCATCAATGGTTAAAGTGGTTGAACAGCTTGGATTTTTAGGTCTTCAACTTTTTGATCAAGGAAAATATTACTCAAGGGCTTTGGTTGATGACTGCTTTTTAAACTTTGTAAGCAAGCATTCCGCTGGTGAAGTTGATCATCCATCAGAAGCATATGGACTGGTGAAGAACTCTTTTTTTCATGGTCTAAATCCATATGAAATGTTAGTCCATGCGATATCATCCAGAGAAGTGATAGTTCGTTCGTCTAGAGGACTCACAGAACCTGGAACTTTGTTTAAAAATTTGATGGCAATTCTTCGAGATGTTGTTATCTGCTATGATGGAAGTGTCAGAAATGTGTGTACTGGTTCACTTGTGCAGCTTGAGTATGTGGATGATGAAGGAGTTAATTCCGTAAATACTCCTCCCGCTGGTGATCCTGTAGGTGTGTTGGCTGCAACTGCAATATCAAACCTTGCATATAAGGCAGTTCTTGATTCATCTCAAAGTAACAATTCATCATGGGAACTCATGAAAGTGAGTCTTCTATGTTTCTACTTGGCAAATTAATTTTCATTTTGGTTGGACTTGCATAGGTCCAAGAGAAACATGATTTGTGTTTAATAGACATGTGTATCTTGCAGGAAATTCTTCTTTGTAAGGTCAGTTACAAAAATGATGTTTCTGACCGCCGAGTGATTTTGTACTTGAATGATTGCTGCTGCCAGAAAAGATTTTGCAAGGAAAATGCAGCATTCACAGTTTTGAACTGCTTAAAAAGAGTCACTTTGAAGGACTGTGCTCATGAGTTCTTAATTGAGTAGGTATCCTGTATGTGCATATCTGTAGTATAGATTTTTGGTATTGACCAAGATTGATTTGTTTCTTCTCTAAGTTGTCATGTGGTCATCACTTCAATATATATCAGATTATCGGCTTTCCATTTTTCAGTATTATGTTTCATTGGAAAGTGAGATTTATCATTTACGTTTTCTCTCTTTGGCATTGAGTAACCACTATCAAGCACTTTCAGTATTATAAGGTTTGGGGATGGTTGATCTACATATGCCTTGGATGCCATTTCTATCACTTGAACCTTGATCTACTTTGATTAAAATATTTTATTTGTCTAACAAAAGCATTTTTCTTTATATATCTATTTTTTTCTCTATTTATGAGAGTTCCGTTATCTCCTAACATATCTCTGGATAAGCAGCTTCCATTAGGTCTTCATTGTAGAATTGGAATATCCTCCATCACATCAAATTCTATGTTCTAATGGCAGGTGCTGTTAGTGAAAATTAACCCAATCTGTCTCATACAAGTTTCATAAAGAGAATAGTGGAATAAAGTTCTCATAATGAAATTAAAAATAGAAATAAAAATTGTGAAATTTTACCTGATATGCCTCACATAACAAGTTTCCTAAAGAAAATAATGGTTATCATCAACATTATTGACATAACAAATTTTAAGCCCTGGTTTAACCCTTTAATGGGATGAGATGGCAACATCATTAACACGGCAAGGTAAAGGATGGAACTAGGTATGTTTGTAGGCACAAACATGATCTTAGGTTAACAACCTAACAAGCATGTTGGCCTTTTCTTGTGCAACTTCAAAGAACTATATTTACACATTGCATGAAACTCTATAAGCCTATAAATTCAGCTGGGTTCTAATTGGATAATGTTCCACCTTTAGCCTTAATCAGATTATCCAGTTAAGCGGGTTTAGCCTTTTATCATCTGAACCTGCATATGCATTGATAAGTCTTTTGCCATGCTGGTTGGTGTCTTAAGAAGGAATATACTTTGCAATCTTTGTAACTAGTTGGTGTCTTAAGAAGGAATATACTTTGCAATCTTTGTAACTAAAAGTTCCAATCTCTACATGCTTGAGCCTAGATCATGTGTCTTTGTTGGATGTAGGTTTCTCCTTTACAAAACAACTCTTTGTATCTGTTGAGCATTTAACATTTTGTACTGCAAGCCACATTCATGATGCATATATCTCTTTTACATAGGTTACATGTTCTGCAAATTAATAGTCTAAAAAAATATTATGCTTACTTGAGGTTCCTGATTAAACAGGCAACTTAAGGTTTATTTAAAAAAATTTAGTGGTTTTTCTATAGTATTATTTTGGATGTCGCTAGATGAACAAGCTTGGTCTGTCATGTTCTTTCATCGATTAAAGAACATTACTGTGTGATTCTCCTGACTGGTTATTTTTATATCAAAATTTGCTAGAAGAATATTTAAAACTGGTCCATGCAAAAATATCATAGCCTATTCAGTGAAATTCACAAGAATTATGTTGAGTTCTCTAACTGAAGTATATGTTGCAAATTTGTTCTTTTTTTTTTACGTCTTCCTCTTATTTTGTGTTTGGATCGTGTAGCATTCAAAAATGTCAAATATACCTTTTTTCTTTTAGATATAATTGCAGTTTGAAATTCCCACTTATAAAATGAGATATATTTTTCCTTTCCCCATGGTGTGGACATAAACATTTTTTGGGCATGGGAGCTTTTTTCATTTTTTTCATTGGAATTACTTATTTTTGAACAAAAAACCTACACATCTTACAAGAAAAGTGTTTCAGGTTTGCTTTTCTGTTTCCCTTAATTTTGTCCTGTATGATCCCTTTTAGAGATAGTGTTAGATGGTTTTTGTTTATATGTAGCATTGTGTGACATTATCACTTTCTTTGATTAATTGTCAGTAGAATGTGTTGAACTATAGTTCTCACTGTAATGAATCATCTATCTGTAATTTTCTCATAGTTTATGGTCACATTTTCAGTCTTCTTATGACAGAAACGTGTGTTTGTCTGTTTTTAACTATTAATTTCACTCTCTCTTGTTACTTTCAGATATCAGAAACAAATAGGTGTGTGTGACAGTTCAGTGACAACATCAGGACTTGTTGGTCATATCCATCTTGACAAGGTTTGGTAAAGCTATATTTTCAATCTGCTTCTATTCTGTTTGAGCAATATTGGTAAAAGCTGGCTTTTTGAGAACATCGGTATCATTTTGTTTGATAGATGCAATTGAAGTTGTTGAACATAAATCCTGATGATATTCTTCACAAATGTCAAGCTGTTATTTTTAGCTATGGAAAGAAGAAAGGACAGCTTTCACATTTCTTTAGGAGAATTTTTCTGTCTACTTGGTAAGATGTTCTCTTGTTTAATGGTTTGTTGAGCTTTAGATTTGTGTTTAAGTTTATACCAATCAGCATTTTAATTTGTAAAATTTGTTTTGCCATTTGTTCCATACTCTCTTATTCGTAGTTTGTTTACCAATATAAAGGTTACATTTTGATTATGACACAACTAAAGCATTTCAATAGAAGCCTCGTACTGTCTGTTCCTATCAGTTTCAGACTCAGTGTCAACATTTCTACGATGCTATTGCATAGCATCACCATTGTTTTATACCTATCTACTGCCAAAATAAGCTACATAATGAATTTGTTGACATCTACTGGACAATTACCTCCCATCTGAGAACCTTTTCATTAGTAGACTAAATGGCTTGTTTCTCCTGTCAGATATTTGACTAGCTTTATGTTGTACAGATGACAATCTTAAAGGAATTTGTCACCGTTGTTGCTAAATAACAGAGGACAATAACATTGTTGTTTTTCTCGCTATATGAAAGTCGTAAGAGTTTCAAATTGTATGAAGGATTTAAAATTTTCTCCCATAATTTGTCCAATCAACAATGAAGCTCTATATGGTGCAATTCCAAATATGGACTGGCATTTGTTAAATACTACTGTCATTTTATACCCACTAGAGACAAAATGCCTCTCATATAGTTAATAAAATCAAAGGTTAGATTGAGTTTGTTACAATTTAAATAATTGCACTCTTCAGAGGAAACCAAATTTCTAGCGAACTTTGCTTCCATTTCTAAAACAAACAGCAAGCATGAATCACTTTGGATTTCATCCATGCAGCCATTCTACATCAACAAATATAGTGCCAAGTGATTTGAATATAACTCTTCTTATATTTAGTAGTGTGTAATTAGAGAGCTAATTCTCTATATCAATGTCTAAGTAGCTGTCACCCTATTTTTCCTTTGCATAACTTAGCTTTCACTATTTCTCTTACTTATGACAGTTCATTCGAATATTATTAAGGTGATATTATAGACTGGAAAGAGAAAGAACTTATTAACACTTTTCAAATGTTTATATGCTTAACTGTGTTCTATAATGTTATAGCTCCTTGAGCCATTTGGAATTTTTTTTTCTATGTAGCAAATGTTGCAGCATCAAGCAGCCAAGTGATGGGAACTTGTGTCATCTCCCATGCTTGCAGTTCTCTTATGCTGATGCTAATGCCAGCCAAAATAACATATCTCTTGAAAGAGCAATACATGTGATGTCTGAGACCATCTGCCCAATTCTGTTGGATACAATTGTTAAAGGTGTGCAAAAAAGTGTTCTTTATAGTTTATTCATATTCTACCATAAGGAATTTTGATTTTTTGCTGCTTTTATGTATTTTGATTTCCATCAAATCTCTTTCCAGTCAGGCACACCATGAATAATCTACAGAAGCTGTGGTATTTGTCATATTATCAATATATTTCTCTATCAGATGTATTATGTATAAATGATAAATATATTCACTTACATTATATATAATAGTATTATAGTAGAGCTCAACCTGTTTATATGATAAATAATGTATTCACTTACATTAAATGCACACATAACCATCTGTACACAATGACTTCTGTTTGTGTAGTAACATTAGATGCAAAGTCTTACAGTAGAACTCAACCTGGAGGGAAATGTGTTATTTTTTTCCAGTCAGTTTTTGTCATCAGAAAGCAAGCATGACAAAGAGGATTGCATGTGTTGGTCTTGCACATACATTGAGAAGTTTTGTTTCTGGTTCGGTTTCTAATTTCTTGTATCAACAGGTGATCCTAGAGTTCATGAGGTGAAAATTGTTTGGATTGGGCCTGATGCAACTTCTTGGGTTGGAAGTTCATGTAAAACCCTAAAGGGTGACTTAGGCCTTGAAGTTGTTCTTGGACAAGACGCAGTTCGGCAAAGTGGTGATGCCTGGCGAACTGTTTTAGATGCTTGCTTACCTGTGATGCACCTTATAGATACAGGACGATCTATTCCTTATGGTATCCAACAAATTCAAGAGGTTCTTGGCATTTCTTGTGCTTTTGACCAAGCAGTTCAGGTGTGTCTGCATTTATTGTTTTAGATATAATTTAGTTTCCAAAACGAACGAAAAGAAAGTTATGGTTTTCTAGATGTGATGTATCTAGTTGCAGAAGCAGTTCTAGTTACATTGGCTTGAGTCTGTACTTGACTTAATCCATCCTTGGGAACTATTTTATCATATTTCTACTGATTGCACTTCCATTTGTGTATTTGTCAATTATTTTTGTCCCTTCCCTATGATTTGTAATTTTTGATTTGTTGATGTGCCTTAACTTCCGACGGCTGCTATTACAGCGATTGTCAAAATCAATCAAAATGGTTTCTAAAGGTGTGATGAAGGAACACCTTCTTCTTGTTGCAAACAGCATGACTTGCACTGGAAAACTTATCGGTTTCAACACTGGTGGTTATAAGGCGCTCTTTCGTTCTTTCAAAGTTGAAGTACCATTTACTGCAGCCACTTTATTTGTAAGTGCATGTCTGAATATTTAAGCTCTTCTTTGTTCATTTTCATCAAGTGTGCTTTTTAATTTTGTCTGATAATAACATTAGAATGTTTCTATTCTTCTTGCAGACACCAATGAAATGCTTTGAAAGAGCTGCTGAGAAGTGTCAGGTTGATTCATTAGCCAGTGTGGTTTCATCCTGTTCATGGGGCAAAAATGTGGCTATTGGGACTGGTGCACCATTCCAGATTCTTTGGGATAAGAAACAGGTTCCATTTTCCATTCACCCAATACCATGTACCCATGACTTTATTGAAATATTTGTACATATAATGAATGAGAGTTAATTTACCTTATTTCTGCTGTGACAGATGGCAATGAACAAAGATATTGGAAAAGGAGTCTATGACTTTCTGGAGTTATTAAGGGAGACATCTAGTGGAGAAGCAACTGGCAGATATCTAGCAGATGTTGATGAACTGGCAGAAGAAAATGGAATTTGTTTATCACCTGACCTCGATGGATGTATGACTTTTGATGATAGTGATGATGTTGAGTACAACTTTCAGAAAAGGATTGGCGTGGTAAATGGAAAATCTGGCGAGTCTAGCTGGGAAGTGGATCCAGTTTCGGTCAAGTCAGGTAACTGGGAGGGATGGGGAGATAAAGAATCAACTCATGTGGACAACTGTGAATCGCCAGCAACCAAACATAATGTTTGGTCTAGTTGGGATTCCATCCAAGTGAAACAAAAGACTGTTGAATCTGAGAATCTGGCAGGTGATACTGTACCTGGTGAAGATATGGATGCACAGAAACATTCTGGCACAGCAGACGAGTCTGTTGCATGGGGGAAATGGAAGGCAGATGGGAACTCAACTGCCAGGGACAAATTGTCTCACAGGAATTGTTGGAATGAGGCAAGCAAGACCAAGGTGGATTTGAAAGAAGGATCACCAGTTTGGAACAGAACTGCTTCAAGCCCAAAAAGCAAACATAATCAGGATTCATTGTTTTCAACGCCAGGGACTTGGAGCAGCCAGAGCTCCGGAAAACCTTGGGGTCAGGATAATGCTAATAACACTAAAAGAAATATTGCACAAGATGGCTGGAGATGTGCTGAATCACCAGTAACAAATATTTGGGATTCCACTTCAACCAGAAATGCTAATGTTTCAGACAGCCAGTGGAGTGGCAATCCTTCCAAGAATTTGGACATTCAGTGGGATGGAAATGACTCTAACAAAGACTTGGACAGCCAGTGGTGTGGAAATGTCACTTCCACATCAAACACCTCCGAAGGTAGAAATCAATCATGGAATTCTCGTGGTTGGGGTTCTGCAAATCCTCCTGGTAGGAAAAACCAAAAGACGTTTTCTGCAAGATTTCCAGGAAAGTCAGCTTCTCAAAAAGGTTGGAATTCAAATAGGGCCTTGGCTTCAGGGCGACGACTAGAATCTCTTACAGCTGAGGAGGAAAAGATTCTTGCTGAAGTTGAGCCAGTTATGCTGACAATAAAGAGGATTCTGCATGATTCCAGGTAAACAAGATGTTATTGTATCTATCTTCTTTCAAAGCATATGCAAGGTAAATATAATTTCTCTTTTCAGGCAAATGTTGTTATTCATACTTTAGAGGTATCCACAGGCTTGTGTGCTTCAAAATTTAATCCTAGAAGTACCTTTCTTTGTAAGCCATTATGAGGTCTACCAGTCTGATGCTTGAATGGGGTTTAGCTTGGGAGAGGATATGCTCAGGTAAGTTCTGATTATCCAACTAGCCAATAAGGTTGTGCTGAGGAACTTGTATAATGACTTTCCAGACAGTAAACAATGCATTAGGTAGTATCTAGATGAACATGTCAAAATGAAAATATTGCCTTAGCAGGAGACTGAGGAACACTTATCTGACTTTACGAGGAGTCTTTTGTTGGCATAATTTTACTGGAGAACAATAGGGAAATTTCACAAGAATTTTCACTATTATGTGTTCACGAGGATTAGCGATAGAGGAAAAGCAAGATGATATTAAGTCACAAATTAGTACATTACCATAGTTGTAAGCATTTTTGAGAGGTACAATGTACCAAGTTTCATTAGTGGTCAGCACCAACCAGACTACTTTTAGCATATGCATGCTTGCACACACACACACACACACACACACACACACGTAGAATAGAGGTGACATGGACAGGTAGTGGGGGTGAGGTGGCGATGCAGATGAATAGAGGAGGTGACGTGGACAAGCAGTGAAAGGATAACCGGCTGCCCAAGATAAGCAGTATCAACAGAAGAAGAAAAGGAAAAAAGGGTTAAAATGATGTGATGAGTAGCAGTACTCATGGTAGGCTTACCGTCTAGTAAAGTTTGGTACCAATCAGTAATCATAGTGCAATAAGCTCACTTTCGGACGGGATTGCCCCATCATTGTACCTGAAAAAAACCATTATGTATTAAACAGTGTGGTTAGAACCTCAAACCTTGGTTTCAACTTTGACTTCCAAAGAGTTGCTATGCAGGAACAATACTTCTATTGGTTGATGACATGTTCCAAAAAGACCTGATTGTATAATGCTCAAAGCGTGCTAGAATTTGTTATGTCAATCAAGTCAGTATTTTTGGCATTTGGGTATTAAAATCAGCGACTAGTTGTTCGACAGAAATAGATTCATTAAAACCTGGATAATTTTCTACAGTAATTTCTCTGGCTGTTATGAGTTTGGATTAAAATAGGTAGGCAAAAAAAAAAACATGGTGATGAGAGAGATTAGTTGAGAAAGAGATGAACAGGAGAAGGGAAGGGAAACATTGGTTCAACAGCCACAACCCAAGTTCCTCAACTTGTTTTCCAATAGGCTTGGCTAATGAAAGGGTACACTACATCTGTTATGTATTAAAGCATCAGTAACTTACCTGGCATCAATAAATTACCTGGCATTGACATTTGAAAAGCACCCACAACTGCTCTAAATAAGGTCTAAATAAGTCATCAATAACTTATCTGATGGGCTTTTCTGAAAAGGAAGCATAAGTGTTCTAAACAAGGTTTAAACTAGAACAATTAAATGTATCTCTAAAGACTTCAAATTATTTATTGGTCTCATCTGCTGCAGTGTACATATGGTGGTGGGTATTGTTCATACTACAGTGACAGAAATAGTAAAGAGCCCCATTACAAATGATTTTAAACCAAATGAAGCCCAAACTAAACTTAAACAAATTGCACAAAATCCAGTATCAAAACCTTTAAGCTAGTAGATAAGAAAATTTAATAAACTCTTGGGTGGATCAGCAAGCCTTGATGTTTCATCAATGGCTATCAGAGATTGGCTAATGCTTCCACCTTCCCTATTGGTTATGCATACCTTAATTCAGATCAGAGGTGTTTAATCTCACATCATCTAGACGTCTGAGCCCTAACCCAGGGACTTTGGATGCTGCTGTTAGTGCCTTGATTCGGAGATTGTTACTTCTCATGTCATCAGGATTGGGTTTTATGACCTTGCTTAGAATTGCTTTACACAACCTTATTTTGATGATCGTAGAAACCATCCAATGTTATATACTATGATGTATAAATGCTTATGGCTATCACATTTTATTTAAATAGACATCATAAAAGTGACAATGAGCTCATACATTTTTATATAGAGAGCTTATTATTTTGCACGATTATGCTATGATTAAATTTAAAAATTCTGGTCTCAATAATTAGTTCTATACACATTGTTTATTTTTCCTCATTTATTATATTAAGGGTAGGAAAGACCATGAACATGATTTCTTACCTAACTGACATGTTTTTTTTATATTCCTATTTGATTCATGAGAGTTTGAATATAGGGCCTAAAATAGCAGTTGAACTTGGGTGAACCTGCATGGTGGTGAACAATTTTCCCTAAAATGTCCTGCTTTTCTCACATACATATTATTAGTTGGTCATGGAAAAACTATCCTTTTAGATGTTACTTCATCAATGAACAAATTGTATGATATTTGTGACGTCATGCTTGCTCTGATGGTATACATATCTTGGTTATGATATATTCTTTCAGTGATGGCAATCGACTTTCTGCTGATGATCAAAAGTTCATCTTGGAGAATGTTTTCAAGTACCACCCTGATAAGCAATCAAAGGTGTCTGATCAAGTTGACTACATCATGGTAAGCTGGACTAGTCATGTGTTCCCAATAAAGCGACAAGGGCATTGCATGACAATGGACCAAACCATGGTTTTTTTTTTTCCTTCAATTAATCTTATTTAGTTGCAATGTCACATAAAGATATTTATTTTGTTGCTGGCAGGTTGACAAGAACATGAGCTTCCAAGACTCGAGGTGCTTTTATGTGGTATCATCGGATGGCACAAGTGCAGACTTCTCCTATCTCAAATGCATGGAGGGTTATGTCAAGCAAACTTTCTCAGAGCATGGGGAGTCCTTTTGTAAAAAGTATTTTAAGAGGCGTCGTTCGGGGCCTGCCGATGATAAAAATCAGCAGCAGTAGTAGTGGTCAAATTTCTGGAGGGAGCCGTACAGTTGTATATAGCCCCGGTTCTTTTCCTGACACACTACACCATCTGCTTCGTCTTTGGATCACTCGACATGCATGTCTGTCACATGCAAAAAATTTTGATTGCATGGCATGGCCACTTCGGTCGGCGCCGACAATGATCTGGGGAATGGATAGAGGAGATCAGGATCATGACATCCATGGATGATGGGGTTGCAATTAGTCTTCATATTGTTTTGACTGGGATAAGGCCTCAGACGTAGAAAGTTTGCATACTCCACGGAATGCAATGTAAATAGTTACACATCCGTGGCACCATATATGACTGACGCAAACTTACATTTCTGATACTGTTGTCAAGAATATGGTGCCCACTTGATTTGTCATTAATGATATGTTTGGACATGTCTTGAAAAGAAAACTATATATATATATATATATATATATATATATATATATATATATATATATATATATATATATATATATATATATATATATATATATATATATATATATATATATACACAAAAACACATATATA